AAGCGTGCGCTTCGATCGTTTCGAATGAGCGGCCGAAGCACTGCCGTCGCAAAGTTTGAACGCTGCCTTAGAGCGCAGACGACCAGTGTCGCCGATTGATAGTCCCGCAGAAAAGGCATAGTATCCACTAAGTCTAAGCAATGGTTAGAGGAAGGTATATGGAGGCGCTGATGTGTGATTCCCTCCCCCCCTTCCCCGAACCTACATTTGCGCCAAATATGGTTGTGATCATACGCTTTCCTGCAGAGTCGAACATTTCTAAGGGCAATAAATACTACAGCTGACTCATGCCAAATACTTGTTGGAGAAAGGACGAGGCAGATTTGTAGACAAAATATTACCGGGAATTTGATACAGTTGTTTGTTATAATTCACAGATTTTGAAATATGTAGGGTCCTGTTGTATAAAGTTTGCGTGGAAATGTTGATTCAGGAAATTACATTTTATTGTTGCTAAAACTAAAGTCTCAATAGAATGGGTGACTTGTTGGATGAACATTTGGTTGAGATGCAGTAACTCTTACTCTCTCTTACGTTCCTTAGCATCACTTGCATGGGCACTTTTCTAAACCCGAAGACAGAAAACGCTATGAATACTTAGCCGTTGGTAGTCCGTCGAGGCCTAGATCGTTTAGTTGGCAAAATGAGTGTGATTTTAACGACCCCTTTGATCATATCCTGCTGTAGAGGTGCTTATTGTTTTGTGCTCGTTTTGACGCATTAACACAGGCCCTGAGGACTGGTTTAGTTGTCAGATTAAACGGGGCAGTTCCGCTTGGTGGGGGCATTTTGCTAGTTACCATCTATCGCTTTCGATTGTTCCTGTGGTGGCCTATGAATTCCTGCAACGCTATGCAGTAGCGGGAGCTTCGTTTGCGCTCAACAAGAGTCTACTGGTCTCACCAAGCTGTGAGACGAGCAGATTTACAGGAACTACTAGAAGGAACTAGCAAATGTGCGAAATGCCCCTCCCAGACTGGACAGCTCCGGTGGAAGATACGTGGCATGTATTCATTGACTTCATCATATTCAGGGACTTTGCCTATGTGGCTCGTGACCGGGGTGATGATCGACGGAGCGTCGGGATCGGTTCATGTGTCATGTGTTTCGATGCGATACCCCTGCAAAAACTATTGCCAACACTCTTCGGGACATATGTAAGCGACTGATGCTCCATAAACGGCCAACTAGCTTGCATGCGATTGATGCAGTACCAGAAAGGCGCGTTATTCGAAGTGAGTAGTATGGACTTTGTTGCGACTACTGACATAACTGTTAGATTACTCTTTCCTCTAGCAGACGGTCTAGTCACACCAAACGAAGAACCAAAGAAAGTGATACGGTGTCATTTCCTTGGCGTCACCCAGGTGCCCCGTGCAACTGGAATCGAAATTCTGAACGAAGCTGTAGATAGGCTGGTGTCTCAGGTGATTTACTTGTTTATTTCATTTCGGGTTGCTCAGGAGATGCGAGTTGCGGCGGCTTTGCGCGCATACCAGTATTCTTAGCTAGTTGACTCGATTTAGGACTTTGGCATTAGGTCGATTTGGTCATAGTAACCCTCGTCTTATACGTTCATTTGACGACCTTGTCTTCAAGAAAATTCGAATATTGACAGATTGTTTCCTCCCGTTTCATAATTGGAGGGCTCCTGTCAGACCAGATTATTCGACGGCTCTAGTCAGGTTGCGCCCAGAGCGCCCAGACTTCGCGATGACGCGCGTCGCGCTACCGTTCCGATTGCGCTCCAATGCTATAGACGGCAACGAGTCATGGACTGTTCTCGATAGACGCTCGCGACTGCTTTGGTAGAGTATAGGAGAATAGGAGGGTACCAGACTGTGTGATTATGCCTTACAAACTGGGCAACTGCACTGCAAACATTTCTATTTCAAGACGCCTAATCACACTGTCGGGTACCCTCCTATTATCTTATGCTCTCTAAAAACATCAGTGGCCGGGCCGATCGACACCCATCTATGGCTGCGTTCCGTCTGTAGCACTGGAGCGCGAGTGCAACGGTAGCGCGCGACGTGCGTCATCGCGAAGTGTGAACGCAGTCTAATAGAGCAGTACTATTCGTTTATCGAAGGATCCTCGGAAGTTGAAGTAAGAAAAAGCGGTTCATGGGCTGTCGATTTTATCGAGAAGATGGTTCTGCGAATCATGAATCAGTCGTCATCATCCATAACGATAAAAAGTAAAAGTAGGAGGGCTGGGTTGAACGCAGCCTCTCATGAGCCTTAGCCGATTAATGACAAAGGCTGCTATGTCGAGTTTAGCTTGACTGGGAGGATATTGCTATTGCGCGGGGCTATGCCATCAGACTCTGACATTCACTGAATTGAACCTTACATTTGCAAAGTAAAAGGTTTTGTAAGGCTTAGTTGCTTTAAGGTACGGCCGGAACGCTGGATTCTTTCTGATGTGTCGATAGCGCCTTCCACTATTACCATTGCTGAGGTTGGCGGTGGTCAGATAGCTCAATGCCGAGTGCGCTATCTCTCCTTCTTAGGAATTGGACGTGATATCAAGTGAGCGTTTTGGGTTTCTTCCCACTCTATAGAATGTTCAATTGATTGTCAGGACGTTGGGGATGCCGAATGATTCACCATTCAGGCCACACCCCATTCAGCCCTTCCAAAAATGACGTTGGCAGCAACCGCCCGCCCCCAGCCATCGCGCTCACTGCAAAAAAACTATGAAGGGCTTTCTGTTGCTGCTGGCTGTTTGAGACTACATTTTGGAATTACACAGGATTTTACTCACAGTTGTCTCTTGGGGCTAGGAAACATGGCTCTTGTTTTCATTACCAAGCTGGAACATTCTGGGACATTCAGTCGAATAATTTCAACTCAAATAATTCAGTAACATAGCTCAAATCGTCCCTCAGTTGTGCGAGAGACATCACATCGCCGTGCCATTCACTACCGATGCTCAAACGTGGTTGTCAGTTGCTTAAAGGGAGTTGGCACGATATATCCGTAAAGACGTGCAGGATTAATAC